CAGACTGCCGCGGCGCGTGCCCGTCCAAAGCGCCTCCGTGCCAGCCAGCCCCGCAGGTGCCTCTGCAGCACGGTGCAGGCTGCCCTCAGCCGCCGGTACCACAGCTCCTCCAGGTAAGCCACTTGGCCAGCCCGGAAAAACACCTTGCTCTTCCCACACTGGTACTTGCTGGGGTCCTGTGTGCAAGGGTGGAGTCATTCCCAGGGACGAAGCATACCCCAACCAGGCTCCCCCAAGAGTGATGCTCCTCGTGACACTGATCTCTCCATCCAACCTCCCTGGAGGCAGAGCTCCTCCCCATCTCCCAGCTCACCTCTTTCTGTACCCCACTGGGCACCCACACATGGGGAGAAGCATCTGCAAGGGATACTCTGGCACCACAGCTGCACCCCCCAAGCAGGACCCTTACTTGGAGCAGTCTCTCAAGGGCAAGGCTGCAGATCTGCTTCTCATCAGTACCCATCAGCTCCTCTCTGCTCAGCAGAGCCCTGTACCTCTCTAAGAACTCCTGGTATGTCCACCTGTGAGGGACAGAGGGGGGTCAAAGGTGCTGTGGCTGGAAAGGGGGGAGCACCCAGGGTGCTGCTGAAGCAGGAGGGTACCTGGAAGGGTAGCCTGAGGCACTGATCCGGATGGTCTCCAGGACCCCGCAGGCTCGTAGCTGCTCCACTGCTCGCCTGGAGTCAAACCTGGGGCAAAGAGGGGCTGATCTAGAATGGCACCCAGCCAGCCCGGCACGCTACAAGCTACACAGGGCCAGGGCAAGAGGGACACGGGTTGGAGGGACAGCAGTGCCCCAGTGCCTCCAGCCCCATCCCCTTCAGCCTCCCTGGCCAGGCACTCACACAAAGGGCTGTTTGCCATCGTTGGGTTTGATGCAGCGGATGTAGTGTGGTGTGGTGCTGCCCAGCATCTCCATCAGCCGGTTCAGGGAGGCTTTGAACTGCAGAGGACAAGGCAAGTGTGGTCAGGGCCAGCAGGAACATCCTGGGGCTTTGGGGTTCCCCAGACCAGGACACCCACAGGTCCTCTCGGGGCTACCCCAGCCCCAGTTGTCTGGGCCAGCACACATTTGCCCCCACCTCATACCTGGCTGGAGATGGACTTCTTGCTCTTTTGGCTACTGGGCAGTGATCTGCGGCTGGGACGACCAGCCATCCTGGGCCCGCTGGACCTGCGGGACTGCAGGGACACGGGGCCGTCCCCCTCTTCCAGGAAGAGCTCAGCGAGCAGGGCAGACTGCACAGAGCAGAGCTGTGAGAGCCAGGCAGACCGTGCAGCCAGCATCACCCAATATCCAGAGAACCATCACCACCAGGAGACACAGCACCAAAAGACCACAGGTTCCACCAAGGCCAGCCCAGCACACAGTCCTCTGCCCTGCTACAGCCCAGATGTGCCAGATCCAGCTGTGTTCCTGCCTGGTGATTCCCCCAGCAAAAAGTGAGTGCAAGCCACAGGCACCTTCCCAGGTGTGCTCAAGAGCCCTCCAAGATGTCCCTTACCTTCTGCCGGGGCCATGCAGCGTGGAAGGGAGAAGTGACAGCGTTACAGACCTGGAAGGAGCAGGACCCTCCAAGCCCTCTCAGCAGGGAGATGGCCAAGGTGTCCCCCAAGATGGCAAAGCCCTAAGCAGGGGAACAGGGTGAGGAGCACCCACATCTCAGGGCACCCTGACCGTGGCCAGCACTGCCTGGGGATGTACCAGCAGGCAGATGGGGATTTACCCTGCATGGCTTATACCTCCTACACCATCAGTCCTTCCCAGCCCCGGGCTCCTGGGGCCACAAGCCGGCCAGGCTCTGCCCTGCACAGCCCCTACTCAGGGTGGCTCTCACCTTGCTGGCTCGCAGCAGCCCCACCAGCTCCTCGGGGACGGCATCCCTGTTCTTCTCCACGAACCCATCACACTGGTATTCCACCTGGCAGGAGACAAGGCAGAGCCATCAGCATTAGCCTGCAGCCTCCCAGACCAGCTTGGTGCGGGCTCTGCTTGGACACAGTCCGAGGCTTTTGGAAGAAGTCCTTGCAGGAGTCAGAGCTGCTGGTAGCCACACTGCCTAGCTGCTGCCCTGCTGCAAGGCTGTCGATGGGAACCATCTGAGCCAGTTTCCATATTTTTTACCCTCGGTTAGAGCGCTGCAGTCCAGCGCTTGCAGCAGCAGAGCAGGCAGGAGCCCCTTCCCAGCCTGGGAGGGTGCAGGCAGCTGCCGCCGCCACTCGGGACAGCAGGGGGCTGCAGGAGCTGCCCGCCCAGCCACTCGGGACAGCAGGGGGCTGCAGGAGCTGCCACCACCAGCTCCAGACAGGGCACAGGCTGGGGGCCCGTTGGTGCTGAGCCCTCCCCACCCGGGGCTGTACTGCCGCAGCCTTCCCTACCTTGCTGGCAAAGTGGCAGACAACAAAAGCATCCGTGGGTCTCTTGGGCTTCTGGAAGTGGGAGCTGCCGAGATGGGTCTGATAAAGCTTCTGTGCCCAACTCCCATCACTGCCTTGGGGCATCTGAAAGGTAAATGGGTCAGAAGGGGCAGGGGAGGGGCTCTGGGTGGCCACCGCAGCCTGTTCCTGGCACCCTTTGCCCACCTTGCACTCCTCATTTAGTAGGTCCAGGATACCAAGCCGGCCCTCGATGAGCTCAATGCATGGCTGGTTGTCACAGAAGTCAATGAAGACCCAAGGGATCTCCTCAGTCACATACTCCTCCTGCTCCCGCTTGAAGACGTGCTGGAGGGCAGGGAGAGCAGAGCAGGACTGAGCCAGGAGGGGACAAAGGTGGCCAGCCACCAGGCAGGGGCTCGGTTTCCAAAAGACACCTGAGCAGCCCTTCTCCTGGAGCAGGAGCACTTTGGGAGAACGGAGGGGACCATGACCAGCTCCAGCAGCCTCCCAGAGCCCCGTGTTCACAGGGACTGAAGCACCAGCCACATTCAAGGCAGACCGCACCAACAGTGTCAGCGCAGCAGCGACGCGCAGGGCCCACCCTCGCTAGCTCCCAGCAAGACGACACATACAGGTGACACCCACCAGGTTGAAGAGCTGCTGCAGCTTCTCATTGGCATAGTTGATGCAGAACTGCTCAAAGCTGTTGAGCTCAAACATCTCAAACCTGCAGGCAGCCTGCCAGGCACAGCCACCCCAGCCAGCCACGAGCTCCAGGCACAGGCACCCAACTGGCCCCACCGCAGGGACGGGTGCTGCCCCCATGTCCCAGCTGCAGACCCACAGCCACAGCTGATGCAGGAGCAGGACCATGCTCTTCCAGGCAGCCCAGGAGAGGGAAGCTGCTCTTACCCATAGATGTCCAGGATGCCAATGGAGGTACGGTGGCCCTCCAGTGACCGCAGGGAACGGTTGACCCTGCTCACCATCCACCTGAAGACCTGCCCATACATATACTTGGCCAGAGCATCCCGGGAGTCAAGTGCCTGCTGCCTGGAGAGGGGCTTCAGGTAGGTCTCACCAGCAGTGACCAGCTTGCGGTGGCAGAGCCAGCGCGTCACCTGCAATGCCTCGATGCCCAGCAGCGTGCAGAAGAGCCCTAGGGCCTCATCGGCCGGCTGCAGAGGGACAGACCCTGTCACCGCGGTATGGCCGAGATGTGGCTCCTGCAGCCAGCACGTCTCAGGAGCTGGTCTGGGACAAGGGTTGCAGGCAGCAGGCTCTTGCCCACCTCCACAGAGCAGCCATCCCCACGGCGGTCCCTCCCTCTGACCACGATGTTGCCCAGGTGCAGGATGGCCGCCAGGACGCTGAACAGCTCCAGCTGGTCGGCCTCCGGGACACCTGCGGGCACGGCGCAGGCGTGAGGGACTGCCCAGGCCCCCCGCCCCGCGCTGGTCTGACCCCCGGCATCGCACAATCCGGAGGGATGGGAATGGCCAGCAGATAGCCAGGCTCCCCAGCACTCCCACACCAGCATCGGGGCGAGGGCAGTGGGACAACCGGCCCTGGGGACCAGCCCTGCCCACCCCCCCCCCGGACAGCACCCAGTCGGGAGGAGGCG